CACGTGTGCCATGTAAATGTCAGGCACATCACAGCGCCTTAGCCTGTGAGACTAAGATGAGACGTGTTCGAGTGAGCCACGGGAATAATGATGCGGCAGGATCAGCGCGCCAACTCAAAAAAAAAAAAAAAAAAAAAAAAGTGACAAGTTACGGGCGTTTGAACTTTTCACTATGAATGGAGTATCGTGAGATGAAGTCAACTGGCGAGGTTCTGCGGTGATGCGGGCAGTTGACAGCTACTCCCTCCCCGCAGAATGGAGGGGCGGCGCGGGGCTGCGTCTGACAGGCCGCGGGGTCCCTGTGTGCGGGGAGGGAGAATCTGTAACACATGCTGCCCAAGTTCCCGGCATTTCGTCTCACTCTCACTCTCCACACCACCAACTCAACTTCAACCTCAACATGACGATTTCTATCTACCTACTGCGGTATCTCATCAATGTCTCATAGCACGACATTCCGAAAGCTTCAGGTCAGGGGCATTCTTACTGCCACGATCCGACTTGGCGACAGCAACAAAAAACCGCTGATTTCTGTCACTCGGCCGTCGTCCCATGATCCAAGCTGCAAACCCGGGCCGGAGGGCGCAGCCGCCTCATCCCGACAGGAGATCATGACGATCAATCACCACCTGGTCGACACATCACACTCGGGACCTTCATGCGGCTCTTTCGTGATCCGACGTACCGAAGATCCCCCCCCCCCCCCGATTTCTTCACTGAGACTGTATCCGAACTCCGGAATGTGAGGCCTGCATCCATGCCCGCTCACAAACTTCACCCTACCCACCACCACCTCGTTCACCCGTGATCTGCAGCTAGGACGTGTGGCGATCACGCAAATATCCTGACACCCTGCGCCTCACGTCTGGAAGTCTGCAACTTTTATAGGATTGGCTTTTCTATGGCATTGCATTCTGAGCAGGGCATCTCGGAAAATCCGGTGCTTGGGAGGCCCTTAGTGCATGTGCGATTTGAGTACTATCCATGCCGTGTACCGGGCGTCTCGACTACCCCTCACCGTTTATTCGTCTCATGTCCAGATGAACGCTCCATCATAGTATGGGATATCGACCGGCCATGACGTGCGTTTCGAGGCACTTGAATGCTGAGGGGCAAGATCCGGTCGATCATACATCAATGAACCGCTGCGTCGTCTCTTCTGGAGTATTGACGCTTTGCTGCATAGGTTCTAGTGAAGAAGTTTACATCAACCTAGATCACTTGGAAGGACATGCATAGATGGAGGAAACTTCCACTGTGAGAAGGCTGAGCTTGAGTTCATCAACACATTCTAAATTTAGCTGCCCGAGACCGAAGAAGAAGGATGCCCAAAAAGTAGAGGACTTTGCCCGTGATCGCCACATCGTTGGCTCAATGAACGTTCTTGGAGGTCGCATCTAGTTGCACGGAGATGAGGGTAAGGTGAACAGCCTGTTGGAGTTGCGAGTCGCGCAGCGAGCATTGCAAACATCAGCCACCCGAGCTTGCTGGTTTCCGTCCGAATTTCAATCTCATGTACCCCCTGCCGCTCAGATTGTCACCTCGGATCTCGGGAGTACTACATGCATGGATTTCAAAGGAAGCATCCGGATGATCATACGCGCAGAGGCCTCTTGACATAAGTCTTCCCATAGATCGGGTAGGCACAATGAAAAGCACTGCCCAAAGAACAGAGACTTGACGATATGTGACTATACTTTGCAATTACGGTATTGGCTGGGATTGCTGCACCGGACACTAATGTCACGAGGCCAGTCAGCCAGGGCTGCCAGCACGGCATGAACACGCTTCCGATCCAAGGTCGGGAGATATGAGAATGGAAACACTGTTCGACACACTTCAGACCATTTATGGAAGCTTGGATGTTTTTGGGTTTGAGAACTTGCCAATTTCCAGCAGCTTGAGTTTGGACGGTATATCCAGCACCCTTGTTTACGATTTGCACGGCTGATGTAACATTTGGCAGAGTTAACTTCACGTTGACTAGGTATTTCGCAGAAAGAGGAACTACGAATGATTGTGCGATGCCATCATGTTCGGTATTGGTGATATCGCATTATGCGCACTCAATTTCTGCCGAGCCCTACTGATAGACAGGAACATGGCCAAGGCGTCTGGCCACTCTTTTGACGGCCTACCTAACACACAGAGCACTTTAGGTAGGTCAAAATACACATCTGCATCTATCAATTTTGCCTAAATTCAAACACTTAGACATATCAGCGATGCCAAGAGGCCCTCAAAGATCATATTGTAGTCAATCAAATCCTTCTCTCCATCACCTGGTTGAGGTGCATTGTGCAACTACCCCGATCAACCTCTAGATCTTAGGTGGCATTCAAAAAGCACAGGTAATGATTCATACAAGAAGCGCATGGACCTGGATGATACAAACCGGACGATCACACATGGCATGTTACGACGACACAGACCATTGCGGAAGACTTTTGCCGGCCGGAATTGCAATAGAGAGTTCTCTCAAAGAGCCTCAAAAATAGCCGCGGGAAAGTTAATCCAGCAGTTCCGGATATTAGGTATTCCGAAATGTGCAATGTTGGCACAGCGCCCATCGCGTTCGGGACTCCAGCCACATTCCATATGGAGCGAGAATCTTTAGCCGTCATAGAGAGAAAAAGTTTGAGCAAATCGCATAGTGTGACACGCGAAAGGTCGGAATTTCAAGCGAGAGAACCCGGTGATGGACCGGACTTCCTCGGCCTTGAAACCCCACATCAACGGTGCCTGGGCTGAGCTACATTCGGAACTCTCCCACCGGAAGGAAGATTGCAGTCGGTTTAAGGTCTCAACAAGCATCCCATGCTAAAGAACTTCGGAAAAGATCCAGGAACTCAGCGAAAAAGCGTTCGGGGTCCTCGCAACTCGTATAGACACTTTTTGGCCTCCGGTGGTTAGAAAACTTGTCTGCCGTCGGAGGTTTTCCAATTCGGCCATCCCGAGCGGACAGATGTCCGGATTGGTAATCCGGCATTTGACGAATTCTCAATTAGGCTCAGAGATTTCCAAACTGGACATCTTGGGAGGAGAAAATTGCCAAATTAAGCTGCTTGTCGGCAACTCGTCGAACGCCCGCCGCTCCCTGCTACTCAAGATGATTGAAGCCTCTGTCCTGCCTTTGTGGATGTCGATCTTGGGGGCTACATGATTTCCGTCCCATCTCCAAGCGTCTCGATACCAGATGGCACTTTTTAACCGCATCGCGGGCAGATGCGACAGTCTCAAGTTTTCCGCCGGCAGGGCTGGAGAAACTCAGCTTTAACGAACGGTGCGCTCGTTCGCTGCACCTCCTAGGAGCTGATTATGCTTGTTCTGATTCTCGCACGTTCGGGCCGTACGCCGCAACTCGACAACGGCGCCCTGCTTTACGGTTCGTCCACGCCCGCAACACAGACCTCGCATCTCCATCCGTAGATACGAAAATACTCTTCCAGCCTTTCAGAGACGTTCCAATCCCCTGGTCTGAGCTCAATTGACTTTGCTGGCACTCCCGAGCCAAGACCGAACTTCACTGAAGTATGCTCAAGGCTAGCATGGCTGGCGGGTAGAACAATCTAACAGAATCTACGAGGCATTTGGTAGGCCTCGTTCGGGCTCGCCCGCCAAGCCCCTGGCGCCGTTCATCATCGGTCTCTCCATCGTACGAATATTTGCTTTTTTTCGTCTTTCTGGCCTTGAGCCCCTGGCTACTCTATTACGCGACGAGATCCTACATACTCTATGCTCGGCATCATCCAGATGATCGCCCTGATGCCATTGTCCGATGCAAGCCAGACATGGGTTCCTCGTCTGTCCAGCCAGCCTCCACAGTCATTTTCAAGCTGCATACACACTACCGCCGGGGCACCAGATGTATATGGTACATACGACTTGACCTAGACCAAAAGTCCTCACGGCAATATGTAGGCACAAGGTGGCACCTCTTGCAACGGCAATGAACAGGCATCACAGCCGGAATGCTTTAGCGACATGCAGAGATAAGCATATGCAAGTTGGTAAGCTATCCATCAGCTAACCCCAGACGGTGCAGACGGGCGCCAGACTGTTGGCTCACTCCCCTAGTGATCCCGCAACGAGCGGGCTCGCCTCGCCTCCAGGCCGCACCGTACTAAGGATTTCACAACGCACCCTACGGCGGGAGTGGCTGGAGAACAGAAATTTCTTTTATGGTGGAGAGCTCGCTGAAGGCGGCATCTGCACGAGAACTGGGCAATGATCGGATCAGGTAGTAGGCGACCGTCAGACGGCAGGATGATCACCTATATTGGCGGAGGAGTGGCGGAAAGCTCCAGATTGGGGTTGTCCAGCCCCGATCCTGGCCTCCCTCGTTCCATATGAGGACAATACCCAACTGCCCTTACCCTTCATACGGCTATATTCACCGCAACTATACCGTCCTCCATCATCGTTATTCCCGACGCCTTGCTTCTCTTTCCCGTCTCGCATCAGCGGTCGCTCAGACACCTCAAGACTGCTGTGCCATTCATACTATGTAACCCCTCACCTCCCCTATCCCCCGCTCGCCCACTTTCCCATTTACCCCAACTGGCAGTTAGACTGGTGATGGATGCCGCCGCCGGATCGTCATGGGTGTGTGCGGATCGAGACGACTGGGGTGCCTGGGGAAGTTGGTAGGGCCTTGCCGGGACTGCGATTCCGAGGCTTGAAACATTACGCTAGAAGCAGGGCCGATTCCCAACGGGCCTTACGGCGCGACGGCAAACTCTGCCCTTGGCTCCATAGTGGTCCTTTCGAAAAGACAGGCCGCTTCTCTCAAATGGTCATTGACATGTATGTAATAGATGGTAGGGGCAGACGTTACTTGGCACAGTCCAAACATCAGCAGATGGTGACATGAAGCTTTCAGGGGAACAACCCCAGAGCCGTGGGAAAAGACCTGCTCATTTCGGTGGCATTCATGGCGCCGATCCAGTTGCGAGCATGCATCGCACGGGACATCTGTCAACCCTCATCTGCCTACCTGGCTAGTTCCACCCAGAATCTGAGGCCTTGGCCACCGAAAGGCCGGGTTCTTTTGACATTTGCGTCTCATTTCTTTCAACACCCCCCGCTCTTCTCCCCCGCGCGCGGGCGGTTTGCCTGCCGCAGGCCCCAACCACCTTGATGTTGACGCCCATCTCGCCAATGTCGGGGTCTGGACCCGATGCCGCGAAAGACTTTCCGCGATTATGCGTTACACTGTGAACATGAGAGTCGGTGGCTTCGGCCGGGACACGATACTTCCCGTCCCTGGTCTGTCGCTTAGATGCACCTTTGCCGCGCATGGCATTTGACGCTTACCCTGCACGCCGGTTAATCACTTCCGCTAGGTGATACGAAAGGACGTGTTCACTGTGGCCATGGGTTCACCTTGTGCAATAGCCCCGGTCAGTTATGGTGTTGACCTCATCTGACACCCATAGTTCAAGTCTGATATTGATATCAAATTAGCCACTAGCTATGGATAGACCTGGCTTCTAGACTTTCTTGCCGTGTTAGTGGCCCAAGCCCGAGGTATGGGCTCTGGCCCGCCGATGGTCAAAGCCAACCTTTCGGCCTGCAATGCTAGCTTGACGGTTGGTTGACAGGAAACCGTTATGAGAACTGCACGTGCAATGGGACGCCAAGGTCGCCCTTTTTGGGAGGCTCAGCCTCTGGAGTAGGGATCGTCTTCCCGTCGTCCGGATTGCCCAGCCGTGGCGTTGGGAATCAACAGGCACAGAGGTTGTCAAACCGGACCTTTTGATTGCAAGAGAGTCTTTCGAGGTGATTCGCATGGACAAGGATACGTTCGGCACTGTGCCGAAGGCTCACAAGGATGAAGTTGATGTTTGGAATACATACGCCGTGAAATATGGTGGCAAAAGTGTTGGCAGCAATGATCATTGCCCAGGCAATCCTGGCATATTGGTTTCGAAGGAGTACGCATCAACTTGCGAATAGCTTCACGTTCCCCTTGCTGCCGAGGCGATCTCACAAAATTCCACGACAAGTACCTTTAGAATGAGAACATGTCAAACTCAATTGTGTCAGACCATGGCTTTTACGTATAGTCACAATAGTCAGAAGGTAATAAGACTGGTTATAGATGCTGGTTTTGTTGCCCATTCGAATAGCTAGTAGTCGTTTCAGGACTGCTAATACATGTAGCTATGAAGATTACCTACCAAAGTGAAATAAATCCCGAGCATACAACGCCCCTGTGACCGTTATAGGTACTCAAAGCAAGTAATAATTTGGACTTTCAAGTATGAGCAGAGACGCTCTGGGGGTTGTGGAAAATATCCTTGGGATCCCAGTGTGTCTTGATATCTTCCAGAGCAGCAAGACTGGACCCCCAATATGACTTCTGAGCATCCCTAAGATCCGTGTCTACAAACCCTGGGTAGGTACCAGTGGCCTCAGGAAGAGCGTTCATCAGCTTCCTGTGAAAGTTTTCAAGAATGGTGCGGGTCGTCTTCGAAGCATCCGGGGCGTATGATTGATAGAACATGACCTTGTCTCTGTGAGCATAGGATGTGCTGCCAACGGGAACCTCTGCAACAGCACCACCGGCAGCCTGGAACTTGATAGACCAGTTGTCTTCCATGAGCTCAGCTGGCAGACTGTCAAGAATACGGGCAATCTCTATCCTGGAAAGGACGTCACTGCTGCTCAAGCCCAAACTCTTCGAGTAAAGCTTGTTCGGGATGGAAGCCGTATGGAGAGCTTCTTCGGCAGCGAGGTGAGCAAGAGAACTCTCCCAGGTCTCTTGACGAGTTGTGATAGGGACATCAGCGATTTGAATGCGGCTGAGAATACCACTCTGCTCAAGCTCTGCCTCTGAGCCGACCCAGGTAGAAGAAATGCGAGCACCCGACGGACTGAAGATCATTTCTGTACTGAAGCGGTGGTCGAGAGCAGGGTCCGTGGCAACAGATTGCCAGGTATGCAGGACATTGGCAGCCTCCGCTGGGTGGCTATACGAATGACTTTGGCTGAGGTGAATAACATTTGATGGCGCCGGATGAGTACTCATGACGAATTCGGTGACGATACCAAATCCTGCACCAGCTCCTCTCACAGCCTGGAGAAATATATCAGTAATTGGAGCATGTAGCATCAATGTTGGGAGGAACTCACGAAGAACAAGTCCGCGTTCTCCTCGGAGCTCGCGCGTACAACTGTCGAGTTTGCCGTGACAACCTCGACTTCAACTACATGATCCAGGGTTGTACCCCACATACGGGTCATTGGGCCAATCCCGCCCTGAACACAATTTGTCAATGTTCGTCTGGGAGAGCTTGATCTGCTTGAATTACTTACAACGGTAGCGTGGCCTCCGATGCCGACGCCGGGGCACATTCCATGAGGAATCGCTCGCTGGGAACTGCCCAGGTGCTTATCGATTTGGCCTAGTCTCGTACCGCCACCAACTATGATGTTGTTTGAGCTGGAATCTTGCGTATATTGGAAGTGTTCCATATCTACTGATACGGCACCGTCTTCGCCTCCAAGGCCTTGCAACGCAGTTAGCAATCGGTGTACTTTGTTTTCTCAGCGCGCAGCAATAGACAAGGCATGGGAATAGCGAACCATAGTTGCTGCCATTGAAGTTAGTAACAGAATCCTTGATCTCTGTGTTAATGGTCAAACTCACCCCCAACCGTGACTTCCTGCCGTCGCCTGGACTTTAACTCCATGCTTCGCTGCGCATCTTACAACGTTGGCAACCTCTTGGGCGTCTTTGGGTCTGACGATCGCCGCGGGCGTGACTGTGCGACCGAGATTGAAAGGGGCCATCCACGTAGCTTCTCCCGCATTCTTTTGGATAGGAAACTGGACGCAATCTGACCTTCCTGCACAGACGTCGTTCAGGCACGACTCGATCGAAGGGGTGGGCTTGTGGACAGGCCCAGGAGCAAAGTAGGTCTGCGCCGTCAGGCCTGCCAGTACTGTAGCAGCACCAATGAACCAAGAGTTCCACTGCACTCCTTTGGTAACCTTGGCTAACCTAGAGGGTTGAGTTTCATATGAAGTGGACATGATGAGATGTGCTAGAAAAAGCTCTGACTTTTGCAGTAGGTTAAAGATATGTGAAGTGGTTCTGGTCAGACCGTTGAATTGGGACGACGATGGCTGCTTCTTATAAGTCCAGGACAAGTAAAATACCCGATAGCATAGGATAGTTTCTTGAACGCTCCCTGAACTAAGGTACTCACCTACTAGAAGGCATGTGATCGTGGTGATGGACAACTCCTTCGGACGGTGGACGTTTGCCGGACCCGGCCCCGCATCGCCGATCGGTCTCAACCCGGGTGTTCAGAATCCGTGGATCGGCGAACTGTGATAACGCAGCTGGCTTCCCCTTGGCCGAATAAAACTATTGCCGCGCGTAACGCGGTACCCAATTGCAGGGATTTCATGCAACGAGCCTGGAACTGGGCATATGTTTCGGGATGAGCCCCATCAGGAACGCTCAACTTATAACCCTTTACGGGTTGGTGATGTCTTGGATCGTTCAGCTCCGCCAGCCTATTGAGACATCAGCCCCAATGCATTCTCCATATGCTAGCGCATCTGTTCTCATAACTTTGTTGAAAGCAGGATATCACGCATAGATGCTGTCGATCGAACCGTGTCCTTGGCCTCTTAGATCTCTAGGTGCTTGTTCCGAGTTAGGCGTGTCTCGCTCCTGGGTCTCTTGTCTTACACTCTCAAACCCTCCGAATACCCGTCAGTCGGCCGCTATCTAACACATAATACATCGCGATTCCCTCAACAAATTCCGAGACACAATGCACAAATAAGTACGTCATGTCCTAAATAGAAGACGCCATTCTAACCAGGTGAGGCTCCCACATGCCGCGACAGAGCGCCTTCATGACATCAACTTCAGTAGCTATTCACATGAAATAGACAGCTGGAGATTAGAATGGCAGAACAGTCAGTCAACACTAACACAAGGGCGTTCGCGCTTCACTGAGACGTGGGTGCCTGACTTGGCTTTTCGCCCTTGTGCCTTGGAAAACCCATTCTTGGCCGACCTTTGTAACGTCTCAAGCCTGAGAATGGTACATTTCACTCCTGTGGATATTATGTTGCATATCAACTACGCCAATGCAAGTTCTGCCGACCATTCATCCCACTGTAAGTACCTCATATGTGGCCTCAAGACGGGTCAACGAAGCGCGATGCTGGGTTTTGATGATTTCAGCTTCCTGTATGCCAGTAGTGGCTTGTTCGAAGTAGCTAATATCAGAAGCATTGTGAGAATACATGTGTACTTCATAATGCTTGAGGAAATCATTGAAGACTTCAACATCTGAGTAGGTGGGTTCAACAGCACCATCTGGATATCTTAGTGCGGACTAATTTGGGTACATCACGGTCCATCGCGGATGAACTTGCCAGGCTCTAGATCTCCACCGCTGCTCATTTTCTCGCTAGCCATCTCTCTCTCTACCCCCTGCCAACCTCCACCGCTTCACGCCAGTATCCCAACAAGATAGCTTTCACGATGGCCTGTCCTATCATAGCACCTTGACCCCAAACAAACGCTACCAGTCTGAAGAAGCTGTGGTCCAATGCAATCTTACTTCATCTTGGTTGCCTTCAAGGGATCCAGCGAGCTGGTGAAGTCGGCGGCCTTGGTGGCCATATCAGTGGGAAAGCTCAAATGCTCGTGAATCCACTTCCACTGCCCCTCTGTGTTCTTCCGCGCGATTCCCGTCCTTCTAAAAGCTGTGTCAAATGGCACACCGCCAGCTGTTCCCCAGGTATGCTGTATCATGGTGGAGTAGGCATACTCTTTGGACAGAGCCGTGATTTCAATGTCCTTGAACTCCATGTTGCCGTCATTCCAATACGGAAAGATGGAGTCAAAGTGCTCTTTGAAGCTGCCACGGATGGTGTTGCCGAACATGTCGTAGCTGAGCATGTCATCAAAATCATAGAATCGCCGAGCGCCCACCATTCCATTGTGGTAGTCTTCGCGCGACTCCTTGTTCCAGTAGTGCAACCAGCCACGGTAAAGCTGGTCCATAACTTCTTGCTCTTCTATCGCTAATTCTTCTTTGTGATACTTTAGTGTAAAGGTCAGCCTAGGCCTTGTCTATAGAATTACAATGATATGGTATCACTAACTTTGCTGGCTGGCATGTGGAGAAAGTCAATCTGCTTCCGAACGTCGGCATAATTGCTCTTTTACCAGTCAGATTCATCTGCTCGCATGGAAATTGTTGATACTGACAGCATCTTCGACAAAGCCCTTATCGTTCATGTTGAGTGTGCTTATAGAGTAATC